CCTACAGCTGCTCTGAGCACGAGACCTTCAGGAGTTCCTGATGGCAGGAGAGTGGTTTCTGATGGGTTTGGCTGGGGCGTGGCTATCGCTATATGATCTGCCCCTGAACACAATAAAGGGGACATTGTTGGGGAATTCAAGGATGACCCATGTCGCTGTCTGTGTGTCTGTGTATTTTAACCTCCAGCCCCTTGCCCGAAGCTCGAGAACTGGGTGCCAGCGCACAGAGCGCAGACACTGGGGGGGAGGGGGGTTGCGGTGCGTGGCAAGCACTGATTCCTCTTAAGAACCTAATGACCTCATAAGGGTCCCAGCACCTTTCAATGCAATGTAGGAATCAAATTCCAATACAGGATAAACCCTATTCAAGTCATATAGCACACCCCAACCAAAAATGGAGCAAATAGCTAGGTTGGGGGTGCACACCTTTAATCCCAGGACTTGGGAGTCAGAGGCAGGCAGCTCTCTATGAGTTCTAAAGTTTTTTTTTATTTATTTTATTTATTTATTATGTATACAATATTCTGTCTGTGTATATGCCTGCAGGCCAGAAGAGGGCACCAGACCTCCTTACAGATGGTTGTAAGCCACCATGTGGTTGCCGGGAATTGAACTCAGGACCTTTGGAAGAGCAGGCAATGCTCTTAACCACTGAGCCATCTCTCCAGCCCCCGAGTTCTAAAGTTTGAGGCCAGCCTGGTCTACATAGCAAATTCCAGGACAGTCATATCACATAGCAAGACCTTGTTTCCAAAAACAAAAGCAAACAGAAAAAACCACCAAAACAAGTAATATGCAAATTTCATCTAAGAAAATGTGTATGATAGAAAAATAAATGAAAAGATGGACAATACCATTAGTCACTAGTAAAATGCAAAGTTTAAACATAAATGAGCTATTTCACACCAAGTGGAATAGCTGTAACAAGTCAAACAGTAGCAGGTGTCAGTAAAGAAACGGAGAAAAATGTTGGTGGGGATACAAACTAGTACAACAGTTTGTCAGTCTCTCAAAAAGTTAAAAAAATAAAGCTATGATAGGAACCAGCAATTCTACTCCTAATCATTTATTCAAGATTTAAAAAAAAAAAAAAACATGTCCCCATCCTTAAGATTTGGATATGAAGATATGAATTGTTCCCCAAAAGTCTCTAGTTGGTGGCACTACTGACGGGGAACGGTCTATGAGGACTCTGTCTTCAGTAACAGACTAACCCTTGCTGTGCTCATAGCATGAGGGCCTGACGGGGTGGTAAGAGAAAGTAGGAGGTGGCCTGGTATTTGGTGAGGTGCCACCTATGCTCCCTGTCCTGTGTTCTGCCTCATGACAACACAGAACAAGGAAGGACGCACTGAAAGCTCTCAAATGTGGATGAACTGTATCTTTCTTCCCTTCGCTTGTTTCCCAAGTGTTTTCTCAAGGAAACAACACACGTCCACACACAGACTGCCCGTGACTGCTCATGGACGTACTATTTGTAAAAGCGTTTAATGTCAAGACAATGTCCAGCAGCTAGTGAATGTGTGGGAAGGGGAGCGGTGCCACACACATACAGCGGGAGACTACTCAACAATAAAAGTAACCAATTAGTGAGACTATGCTAGGTATGAACCTCAAAAACATTGCTCAAAAAGCTAGACATAAGAGGCTCCACACTCAGCAGGGTGGTGGTAGCACATGCCTTTAATCCCAGGACTCGGGAGGCAGAGGCTGGCAGATCTCTGTGAATTCAAGGCAAGCCTGATCTACAGGTGGAGTTCTAGGACAGGCTCCAAAGCTACAGAAAAACCCTGTCTCAAAAACCAAAAAAAAAAGACTCAATAATCCCAATTCTTAGTTTCCAGAAAAGACATTTTATACATACTAGCCATAGATTAGTGGTATCCAGGATTATGGGTGGGAATGGGTTTAACTGCAAATGGGCAAAATGATGTTCTACAGCTAAGCTACAATGACAGTTGTTGTACTTGGTAAAATTACTAAAAAAACTGTTTAACTGTACACTATGCACTTCAACTGTATGCTGTATACTAACATTCAGTGACTTTATGCTATGTAAAGCATACCTCAATAATGTTTTAATATATACATGTATGTGTGTATATATACATACACACACACATATATATACATTCATGCCTTGGCTAGGGGAGGCGCTCATGAAGGTGCACTCCTGGCAGAGAAGCTACTAGAAGCTGACAGCTGCTCATGGGGCTGGGGGTTGGAGACTAGCTTTCTTCAGATGTGACCCCTAATAGGTTGCCCACATTCCAGTGGTTGGCCCTATACTCACGCACAGTCTGGCGGCACCATGTGGGCTCAGGGGTTGAAGAGAACATAAAGTTGGAAGGGCAAAGTGGTGGTGGTGGTGTATGAACGAAGTTGGAGGGGAGAGAGCGTGGGGTGGATTTAACTAAAAGCACATTATATAGAAGTACAAGACTGTCGAATGACAAGTAAAACGTATTTTTTAGATGCTCACACTTTGTTTCACCTGTCCCTTAAATTAACTGAACTACTGTAGTTGTACTGATTACAAACCACGGGTCTGAGTTTAACGTCTGTCATAAATCACCCTGACTAAAAGCAACATAATGGGGAAAGGGTTATGTTTTAACTCAAAATTCTAAGCTCTGTCCATTTCAGAGACGTCAAGGAAAGAACTTGAAGCAGCCACATCCGCAGTCAAGAGCGGAGAGAAAATACATGCATGCATGTTTGTTCATGCCTGGGCCTCTCTCTACACTTCTACATCCAGGACCCAAACTCAGGGAATGGTGCTGCGCAGAATGGGTGGGTCTTCTCACTTCAGTTAATATAACCAAGACAATTCCCCACAGACATGCCCACAAGCTACCCTGATCTAAGTGATCCTTCATTAAGATTCCCTTCCTAGAAGAGTTTACCTCACATGACTCTGACAATTAAAGGTAATTTATCACGATGGGTGATAATGGCACACACCCCAGGTGATAGTGGTACACGCCTTTAATCCTAGCACTCGGGAGACAGAGGCAGGGGGATCTCTGTGAGTTTGAGGTCTACAAAGAGAAACCCTGTCTCAAAAAACAAACAAACCAAAAAAAAAAGCTCTTTAGGGACAATCAAATAATGCCAGGAAAGTTCCAGCCACACTCATTTTTCTCAGAAATCAAAGGTTCCTTCTGTTACATTTATATTTTAGGAAGCTGGTGCTCAGAACCAGAGAACATAACCTAAATAGATTTAAATTATCCTTTGACGATGGGCTGAGCCAACAAAAGCACTTAACAGAATTTGAGAGGATATAAGGCGAAGTTATATAACTTACCCTAAAATGGCAAAACAGCAGTTTGGCTTAACCGTGTGAAGTCCTAACAAAGCAGTTCTCAGCAAAGATGTTGCTAACATCAGTAATCTCTGGATCATCATCATCCCCTGACTATCCACTTTTCTCCCAAGATCCCGACTCAGCTTCATCTCAACGTCACAGCCTTTCACAAGACTTCAAAGAATTTTCCAAACAGTTTAGGTCTTTACAAAAATGTGACCTCTTCATTATAATCTGCCAGCTTCACACAACTGCCCTTCCTTCAGCTATTATCCTTTCGTGAATGGTTGGGGAGACAGGCTTCACACGTGTGTTCTGATCGCAACGGGGGAAGATAGGCTTCACAGGTGGAAGATAGGCTTCACAGGTGTGTTCTGATCGCCACGGGGGAGAGAGGCTTCACAGGTGTGTTCTGGTCGCCACGGGGGAGATAGGCTTCACACGTGTGTTCTGATCGCCACGGTAGAAAGCCCAGGTTTTGTTCTTCCTAGAACTCTATTGCCTGGAACAGTGCCTCGCAAGCTAAGAGCGCTCAATAAGTGTTTTCTCTTTGTACAAATGGGTATTAGATGTACCAAGAAAACGGGTGTTAATCCTTGCTGAAATGACAAGTCTCTCTCTCCTTTCTGCTTCTAACCTCCAGTAAAGCAAACCTCAGCACGACATTTCTGGACTGTTTACCCAACGTTTATTCAACACCGAAGAAAGCTAATGTTTCACTTTTAATTCTCAACTTGCTACCACGCGTTTTCAACAAGAGCTGTTAAAACAGGTAATCAAGCCCCATGCGACTCTTACGAACTAATAAGAAAGCAAAGGAAAGTTTAATACTTAACTAGTAAGTACAGTGTGAAATTTCCAAAGCCGTCTGTTTTTTTGCTAAGCCCCAGTTGCAATCCTTTCGCCAAAGTAAATAAATAAATAAAAACCTCAAAAATACTTGCCTAAGCAGTTCTGACATCTTCGGCCCCAAATTCCAGCACAAAGGAACGTTTGGCCAGCCCTGACCCCAGAAGCCTTCCTCGAAACAGTTTACACACACCAATCAGCCCGCAAAAATGGGGGACCCCCAAAGTGCTGCCCAACTGACTGCATTCCAGCGTTTCACACACCCAGCAGAAGGGACCCTCCCCCCCTCACCTCCTGGCTCAAGCAAGGGCCCCCAGTCAACTCCACCATCAAAAGCCTGTACCAGGGAAGAATCTGGGGAAGGCAGGGGCCTCTCAACAAGGCCAAAATTGGAGGGCGTCTCGGATGTCAGACCCTGAATCTGCCAATTCTCTGTGACCTTGGGCGTGTCGCGGAAGCCTTGGGGCTTGCGGTCTCTCACCTTTAAGGTGAAGACCGCACCCTGACCGCGCCACATTAAAGGATTGAGGCCACAGGTGACGCTCCTCGCAGGGCACCTGGCAAGAGTGGGAGACCCACTCCCAACCCACGGGTGCGGTGACCCCCATCCTCCCCATGCTTCAAAGCCCTTCGGACTGGGCCAGTCGCCCAGCTCTGCAGACAAATACTCTGAGGGGTAGAGATGGGAACAGGGGGCTCGAAAGGACCGCCGAGGCATGGCCTAAAACGCCGCCCCCCCTCCCCGACCCACGCCCGGATGCAGCGCGAGGTGCCGGGGCCCCGGCTCGCCCGCGGGCGCTCCACCTGCCGCCCGGCCTCCCGCCCGCGTCGCTGCACTCACTCTTCACTTTGCCGAAGGTGCCGACGCCCAGTGTGTCCCCCAGCACGTAATGTCCGATCTTCACCCTCCCATCGTGCTTCTGCTTCTCAGCCATGTTCCGTTCCGCGCACCGCCTCCCTCGGCCGCGGGCCCTCAGCGTCGCCGCCGCCGCAGCCACCGCCGCCTACCCACAGTGCAGCGGGCCCGGGGGGCGGGACGGGGACGCCAGGGGCGCGGGGCGCGGTGGGGCTAAGAGAAGCCGGGGCGCAGGGGGGACGTGGGCCTGGGTCACGGAGCCGCGGCGCCCCGAGGAAAGTCCGTGGGAGTGACGCTGGGAGGGGTGAATCTGAGCGCGGCCGAGACGGAAGGAGAACCTGAAGAGAAGTGGGGGCGCAGGGGTGCAAACAGACTTGCCTGGGGCTGGCAGGGGTGGACTCGGGTGGGCGGCCCTCCCTTACCCCCTGGGATGCGCCTCCGGTCAAGGCTTGTTTGTCTGGGGACATTCCAGTCTCTACCCTCTTCAGATGGTGGCCCATTATTTTATAACTCACGCTTATTTTGTAGTTTCTAGTCGTGTTATTGTTAGGTTTCAAAACCGGGACAAACGGCGAGCCTGGGGCCGCCTATTAATGAATCAGAGGTGATGCTGGCCGCCAGGTTGTCCCGGTATTTCTCCATCCCCATCTTACAGGCTCCTCCTGGCTGACATACCCCCGCCGCCTACCCTGAACTCTGCAGCCCAGAGACTGGGCTGACCCTTATCCTCAACTCCTCTGGCCCCTATATAACTCAAGACATTTTGGCTACACTGATCCAGGCTCCTCTCTTGCTCTCCCTCCCACCTCTCCTCACATGGCCATGCTCAGTATGGCCTTGTTCATTCTGAACCCTCCCAGACGTCTCTGCCTCTGCCTGCCTCTGTCCATTTTTGTCTACAGTAAACCTTTTCCACCGTTCTTAGTTAGGTTTTGCATTGGTGTGAACACACACACACACACACACACACACACACACACACACACGACCAACATGCAAGTTGGGGAAGAAAGGGTTTAGTCTGCTTACACTTCCACAGTAGTAAAACTGCTCATCATCGAAGTCAGGGTAGAAACTTAAACATGGCAGGAACCTAGAGGGAGGAGCTGGTGCAGAGACCATGGAGGGATGCTGCTTAGTAGCTTGCTCCCCATGGCTTGCATGACTTGCTTTGTTTATAGAATTCACGACCATCAGCCCAGGGATGGTACCACCCACAATGGGCTGGGCCCTCCCCCATTAATCATTAATTAGTCATTTTCTTAATTTCTTTTTTTAAGATTTATTTATTATGTATACAACATTCTGCCTCGATGTATGCCCGCACACCAGAGGAGGGCGCCAGATCACAGTACAGGTGGTTGTGAGCCACCATGTGGTTGCTGGGAATTGAACTCAGGACCTCTGGAAGAGCAGCCAGTGCTCTTAACCTCTGAGCCATCTCTCCAGCCTCCCTTAATTAATTTCTTAATTAAAAAAATGCTTTACAGCTGGATCTTTATTCTCTGTGTGTGTGTCTCTGTCTGTCTCTGTCTCTGTGTGTGTCTCTCTCTTTTTCTCGTTTTTGCCATGGGTGTCAGGTCCCCTGAAACGGGAGTTACAGAAAGGTGCAAACTTCCACATGGGTTCTGGGAATTGAATTAGGATCCTCTGGAAGAACAGTCAGTACTCTTAACCCCTGAACCATCATGTCTCCAGCCCCTTACAACTGGATCTTATAGAGGCATTTTTCTCAGATAATTCTAGTTTGTATGTCAAGTTGACATCAAACGAGCCCCACATACCTAGGAGCAGTCATATCTTCTCCTTTACTTCTTTTCCTCATGCAGTTATGTAGACCATCATGTCATATAGATAAAAGACACCTTCTCCATGCAGTTATGTAGACAATCCGTTACATAGATAGAAGACACCCTCTCCAGCACTGTTGGTTTTAGCTGATTGAAACAAAATTGCCTAATAAAGTCACAGATACAGCCCTAAGTATATTTCAGCACCGGCACGTGTGAGCACATGTTTGTATGTACATATATGTGTGTGTACATGTATGAGAGATTGGGCAAGGGAAACGTAGTAAAAAGAAACATGAAAATAAGTTACCTGTTCCAGTAAACGCAAAACACAGGTAATAAAAGTATTGCGAGGAGCAAGAATGATATAAAAGCACAAATTAAAAATGTGTACTGAAGATGAAAGTGAAAGAATAGTAAGAGGAAAACAAAAACATAAATGACCAGAGTATTAGAGACGTGCAAATAACTTAACATTCAAGCAATCTTTCCCTCCCTCCCCTTTCCTCCTTCTCTCCTTGCTCTAATGTCCTCATTATTTAGTGTCGACCCATCTTTCCATACTTGAAGATTATTTGCTTCTTACTGCAGAAAAAGTATGAAGCTTCCTATTTACATTAGTTCCAATTAGCCATTGCCTGAACACATACACACACATATCAAAGCATTATAAACACTTGCAGTTTTGCCCATGAAAAAATAATTTTAAAACACACAGAAAAAGGATTATTTGCTATTTGGGGATAAATTATTAAAGGCTAGTCAAACATTTGTGACTCTGTGCATGCCAATAGAATTCCGTGATCACATTCCTCAAACATGAAATCTCAAGTCAGACTGTTTATATGTAAACAGTGCACTAAGAAATGTGTCTAACAAAGCTTGGTTGTCAAATAACTACTAAACATACATCTGACAAACTCATTCTCGCGTGTACACCACGGTAATCTGATGAGAGATGATCTCAGCTTATCAATTATAGACATCACAGCTGTTGAACACAAGCTATTTTTGTTCATTCTTCAGATCACCTTTCTTGCTGACAAGAGATCTCACTTAAGCATCTCAACCTAGCTGGCAAATTGTAGAGAGCTTCCCAGCTATTTTTACGGCTGAACTTTTAACCACTTAAAGGCCATTCCTTCACTAGACATTCAAGTGGGTGAGAAGACCAGATGGCTGCTGTGCTTTTTAGAGTCACATATGTATGTCTGTGTTGCCCTAATAACCCAGCAATGATGTTGAAGAGTCTTTAAATGGTGAAACTAGATGGAGAAAAGCTATAAATCTTCAAGCACATTGCAGTAGCTATTCGCCAATTAAAATGTCACTGTTGTTAAACCAACCTTAGAGTTTTATGGTAAACATAAATAATACTTTCTTGTTCGAGAAGTTAATTTAGGCACAGTTATTTGCCATCAAGGGAAGTTATTGTCCCCCGTTTCGTAGATGTTGAAAACTTAGTTCCCCCCTCCCAAGGCTACAAAGCTAGAGGCAGAGCAGCAGGCTCAGATCAAGTTCCAACTTGTCCTCTTCCTTGGGTTTCCTCACGGCTGAAATCATGCGGTACTCTGAGAGCAACGTATTCACAGCCAGAAGCCTGTTCTCACATTTTTATTTCTAGAGCAGCCCTGTTTTCAAGCCTGTGGGCGCTTTATTAGTGGGGAAACGGAATGCTACATGGGTGAGACAAACGGAAAAGTCTCCATTTTCTGTTGTGCTCTGACCTTCATATATGAGTCCATGTTTGCTGCACCCTCCTCATCAGCAACACAAAGCTCCCTATAGAGGTGGCTCTGTGTTTCTATCTGCTTATACCCCTAGGAGATCTACCTAAGAATATTGCAAATGCAATATATCCTGTTTTGTTATCTTGCAGCTGATGTTTTAGGGTTGTTATTGTTTAGCACCAGTAGCTAAGATTCCTATCCCAGGAAACTACTCTGTTCTGATCGTTGCTCTAACTATTGCTGCCTTAACTCCCTACAACTGGACGTTTTTAAATTAATTTATTTATTTATTAAAAATTTCCACCTCCTCCCATTTCCCTCCCACTCCCCCTCCCCCTCCCTCTCCAGTCCTAAGAACAGTCAGGGTTCCCTGCCCTATGGGAAGTACCAAGGTCCTCCCCCCTCCATCCAGGTCTAGGAAGGTGAGCATCCAAACAGGCTAGGCTCCCACAAAGCCAGTACATGCAGTAGAATCAAAATCCGGTGTCATTATCATTGGCTTCTCAGTCCGCCCTCATTGTCAGCCACGTTCAGAGAGTCCAGTTTGATCACATGCTCCATCAGTCCCAGTCCAGCTGGCCTTGGTGAGCGCCCATTAGATCAGTCCCATACGATTGGACCTTTGCTGTTATTTGCCTTCAAATATTCTAAAGCAGAACCTGAATGGGTGACAGGAATACTACTAGAGCAGAGGTTCCCAACCTTCCTAATGCAGCGACCCTTTAATACAGTTCCTCATGGTGCGGTCATCCCCCCAGCCATAAAATTATTTTCTTTGCTACTTCATAACTGTAATTTTGCTACTGTTATCAATCATAATGTAAATATCCGTGTTTTCCAATGGTCTTAGGCAACCCCTGTGGAAGGGCCATTTGACCCCCAAAGAGGTTGTGGCTCTCAGGTTAGGAGCTGCTGTGCTAAACTAAGGTATGACAGTAAATCTCACTGGTGTCATAAGAGACAGCAAGCCTCTCCAAGTTCAGGAAATTTTTAAAAATATACTAACTATCCAACGTACATCTATAATACTCATATTTTACATTTTTGTCTGTATTATCTTTGTTTCTTCATGTTTTGTAATTTCTTAGTAGAAAGACTGGAGAATTCTACCTTGAAACATGATTGATCACACTGGTGTGTGGGCAGATATGTGCACTTGTGCATGTGTGTATGCCGGGGATAGTCTTTTGGTTCACTGTGAAGATGTATCTCTGCTAAAGGCATTTTGTTAATTATGAAAGCTCAGTCTTAGTTTAGGCTTTTTTCTAGTTAGCTCTTATAACTTAAAGTAATCCATTTCTGATAATCTACATGCTACCATGTGGCTTGTGGCTTTTACCTCTCCTCCTGCATGTCTTGCTTCCTTTCCATTTCCTCCAGCATCTCCCCTATGCTTGCTTTATCTTTTACGTTCTCTCTGCCCAGAAGTTCTGTCTAATCTCTTCCTGTCTAGCTCTTGACCATTCAGCTCTTTATTACATCAATTGGAATGTGCCTTTCCAAAGACCTATCTTCACAGTGTACAAAAAGAGTCTAAGTGTATTTTACTACAGTAATGCATTAATAGTTTTTAATATATCTAAAATTGGCAATTTCATAGCCTATCGGCTGTGTCTAGGGTCCAGTGGAATTTTACGTATCTTCTTAGAATTTTGGTTCAAAAATAGAGGGGAAATGAAGTTTCATTTTATGCCAATGTGTGATAGTTATTCTTGATCCTCAACATTATTGGATTGGAAAATGCTCC